TGAATCAATATTGGTCTTTTGGCAGAAGTAAGGGCATGACGAGCTCATCTGTGCTAATGAGCTGTCAAACCCCATTTAACTGGTCAATATACACTTCGTATGCTTTTCTCCCTAAAATGGGGGGCTATACAGTATTCCTGTAAATGTATTTTTATGTTCCTGTTTTTTGAACCAAAACTGTGTTACTAAACCTAGAGAATTCTGCTGCCTGACCAAGAGTTGCATTCTGATCTCTGTGTTAGTGCAGGATACATGAATTAGGTTGGGTTGCAGCTTAGCATAAAGGAATCCTGCAGTTTACCACATACAGTAAAGCAGGGAAAAATTGGTTTTAACCTCAATTTGAAAAGCATACACAACTAGATAAATACCACATTATTTTTTTTTTTAAAAAAAGGCAATATCAGATAATTTTATTCAGTGGCTTTTATAGATAGAAAGTCCTGCTTGTTGGCATCCTTGAGGTTATATTATTATACATTCTGCATGGATGATAGTGAACTAAGGTTTCTCAACATGGCCGCTTCATCCTGTAATAATTTTTTTATTAGTTTTCAATTACTGTTGTGCCTCTGGTGTGATCCAGCAGTTGATTCCTGTGCTCACAGTGGCCAGAGACTCCTTAAACAACTTCCTAGCAACAGATATTCTGGCTCCTAATTGAAAACTGTCTGAGGGAAAAGTCTCTTTCAGGGAGGCTTGACTGAGCAAATCAATTGCAGCGCTGCCCTGGTAAAGTGTGGCAATGCACCATATGATTGACAGGTGACATCACTTGATTGGTGGGTGCGCCTGGCTTAAAATAAAAATAAAAATTGCCAGGCCAGTTTGGATCTCTGGAGGGTCAAGATTAGCCCAGGGACTACCCGATTTCTGTCCAAGAGGATCAGACAGAGGTTCAGATCTACTATTATTATTTTATTACATTGTTTGAAAATTAATTTGGGGTTGTTGAATACGATTCCAAGCACAGGATTTACCTGAAAGAAATGTATTGCTTATTTCTTTCAGGTATAACCAATGGAGAGTTTGGTGCTTGGACGGTAGTTCTCTATGTAGTATTGCATTCTGGCCTGTTTGAAAATCAAGGTATGTATATGAATGCTTGTTTTCTTGAAAAGAAATAGTACATATATAGCAAGGCAACAATGTTTCTTTCAGTGTGTGTACCAACTGGGACTGGTAATTTCCTGCTTTTAAAAAGAAAACTGGTAGTACTTACTTATGAATATGTACCATAGTACAGTGATACCTCAGTTTAAGAACAGTCTGGTTTAAGAACGATTCGGTTTGCAAACTCCACAAAACCGGAAATAGTGTCCCGGTTTGAGAACTTTACCTCAGTCTAAGAACGGAAGCCGATCGGTGGAAGGGCACTGGTGGCAGGAGGCCTCATTAGGGAAAGTGTGACTTGGTTTAAGAAAGGTTTTGGTTTTAGAATGAACTTCCGGAATGGATTAAGTTCATAAACCGAGGTACCACTGTATTCAATGGAGCACACTTCTGAGCAGACAAGTAAATAATTGCACTGTAAAGCATATTTTCAGGCCAAATGAGGTACATTTTCTAGGTATCTGTGTCCTTAAGTGCAGGGATTTTTAGTTATTTTACACAAAGCAGAAGTACCAGATTACAGTGGTACCTCGGGTTAAGAACTTAATTCGTTCCGGAAGTCCGTTCTTAACCTGAAACTGTTCTTAACCTGAAGCACCACTTTAGCTAATGGCGCCTCCCACTGCCGCCGCACCGCCGGAGCACTATTTCTGTTCTCATCCTGAAGCAAAGTTCTTAACCCAAGGTACTATTTCTGGGCTAGCGGAGTCTGTAACCTAAAGCGTATTTAACCTGAAGCGTATGTAACCCGAGGTACCACTGTATATGCTACGCCACAGTTGATGGAACTATTATTGGGTAAATGTTACCCTAAAGACTGTTCAACAGAGCCTGAAGTGTCAGTGAGTCTTTTCTTTTCTCCCTTAGATCGTAATCTGTTTCAACCTAGAAACCTTGAGATTTCCATGAACATTCGTCTTCAGCAGCTATCAGTGAAATGGGATGTTGGCGATGATTCTGAAGCATACTACTCTGAAACAGAATTTGTTTTTAATATCCAAGTCAATCGAACCGAAGAGAAGATTATTGACTTCCCAACTTTTCGTGAAATTCCCAGACGCTGGCCTCTCCAGGTATAGGTGGGAAAGGCCTAGAACTTTTGCCTGTCGATGTAGTTAATACTGAGCTAGATGGATCAATGGTGTGGCTCAGTTTTAGATGGCTTCCTATGTTCCTATGAAAACCAGATAAGCCACATACATATGTGTTCTCTTCTATGCCTGTTATTCAAAATACACTTAGCAGGCTGCATTAGAAGAAGCAAAACATTTGAATATAGGCTGGGGAAAGTCATTGTTCCATGTTGAGTTAAAACCCAGGATTCTTAATGTCTGCCACAATACTTAGCCAGTTCCTTAAACTGCTGTAAATACCCAGAATTGTAATTGCAAAAGGGCTGAATCATAGAATTAAATACAGTAGTACCTTGGCTTACATTACCCTTGGGTAACGTAAACTTTGGGTTGCAAAAGCAGCAAACCCGGAAGTGTTTCACCACACGTGCATGCTCAGAAGCAGTTTACTGTCACGCGCACATGTGCAGAAGCGGTCTACCGCTTCTCCTCCGGTTGCGAAAACCTCAGGATCCAGCCAGACCTCTGGAATGGATCCCATTCACAACCGGAGGTACCACTGTAGTATCTTTTATCTAGCCTTCCTTATTTTCTGGGATATGGAGGCATATTTATGAAAGAATTGCCTTCCTCATTTGCTCTTGAGGAACGACAAAGCTTTCACATTCAGGCAATGGCTGATTAATGCGTGTCCAAAAGATGTGCGATCGCCCACATGCACATTGCACTGAACCCAGAAGTGACCCGAAAATGTCAATCAACACAGCATGAAAAGGGTGTCATGGGGGGAGGAGTGTCACGGGGCAGGGAGCACTTCTGCGTGCAGGGGTCAGGAACAGAACCCCATGCGAAATTGCTATCAGCTGTGTACATTTTTTTAAAAAACAAACAAACAAAACCCAGGTCTGTAGGGCATTGTCAATTTCTCCTTGGGCTTTGTTAGCACATAATCAAGCATGGGCTGTAAATTTTGTGAATAAAGTTGTTTAAAATAATCAAAATAATTCAGTATTTAAGCTAATGGTTAGTCCTTTTAAAAGTAGACCCAGTGTTCAATAGGTAAAGGTAAAGGGACCCCTGACCATTAGGTCCAGTTGTGGCCGACTCTGGAGTTGCGGCGCTCATCTCGCTTTATTGGCCAAGGGAGCCGGCGTACAGCTTCTGGGTCATGTGGCCAGCATGACTAAGCCGCTTCTGGCGAACCAGAGCAGTGCACAGAAACGCCGTTTACCTTCTTGCCGGAGCGGTACCCATTTATCTACTTGCACTTTGACGTGCTTTTGAATAGTCCAGCAATAAATGAAATGCTGAGGGGTCAAGCAAATCTAGTGGATTTTGTTACAGAAATTTAAGGTATACTGAATACACTTAACACACACTTCAAGCTATCATTTAATCTGACAAAGTAGAAAGTATTATCTGTCTAACCTATCTAACTGAAAACAAGTGGAACATAAGAGATAAGTCGTGTGGGTGGGTGGGTGTGACTAGATCTTTGACCGAGTTGCTAAACCGAGCTGATATTAGTGGAGGTAGCTTTCAACGTATTGGTCTTACGTAAGTTTTATTGAATGTCCAAAATTAGCGACTGCCTCAACTCGTATGTGAACGTTGCCAATTCCCAGGCACATTTTGCAAAAGTCAGAAAACTGAAAAGGCACCACTGGTGTATGTTGACAGTCACCATGCATTTACTTGGAAGTCTGGAAATGATTCAGGCTTATTCGTTTAGTCCGCGATCCAGTGTTCTCTTTCACCAAAAGTGACTAACCAAGAAAACCAAGGAAGCTCACTGAGTGACCTTGGGCCAGTCACTGCCTCTCAGCCTAATCTATGTCACAGGGTTGTTGTGGGAATTAAATGAGGAGGGGGGAGAACCATGTAAGACATGCTGAGCTCCATGGAGGCCAAAGCTGGGATAGAAATTCAACAAATAAATAAATAAACTAGAAAGACTTTCTGGAATGTTGTAGGGAGACCTGTTTAATAGTGTGGTCTGTGTCACATGGGGCTGCAGTGAGAGAGGGAGGAATTGCCCGGAACTGAGCAGAGGAATCTTAAGCCTATGTTCAAGTTCAGTAGATATCCCCTCTCCCAGCACTGCAACCTCATGCAACACAGCCAAAAATGTTGCAATAGGTCTCCCTGATCTCTTGGAGGGATGAGGTACAGTGGCTTCCGCAGAGGACGAGGAGGCAGAATAAGGAATAAGGAAAGATCTGTTGTGCGAGCTTGAGTTCTGCTCATGCAACATTAGAGACAGCCCTATGATTATTATTTTTAGAATGGTCACTCCTCCACATATACAGATGCCTGCACATTTCATAAGCTAAAGGGTATAATCTATAGAATTCTAGAGTTGGAAGGGACCATGAGGATCATCTAGTCCATGGTGGTCCAACTCATGGTTCAGGGGCCACACACAGCCCTCAATATCTTTTTGGGCAGCTCTTGGCAGCATTTGATGTTCCCCCACAGGTAGATGAGGCACTGGGTTTGGGGAAGGAGGTGTGAGGGTTCTGACAGGGTCCTAGAGTGCTCCGCCATCTTAGTTAGTGCCTAGTTAGTGCTTTCCCAGCTTTGGGAAGGAGGTGGGAGGACTCTAGGACAATGCCAGAGCCTTGCACCTCCTTCTCAATCTCTTTGGGAAGGCAGCGCAAGGGCTGGGGGCTGGAGTGGGCTTTAAATATTGGCCTCGCTGCCTCCCCTGTTGTGCAACCATGTATTGTCCAGCCTGTGGGTTCTGTGTCAAAGTACTCTTTTCAGACCCATTTGGTCTGAAAGGTTGGACTGCCCTGCAGTGCAGGAATCTTGCACCCAACATGGGGCTCGAACCCACAACCATGAGATTAAGAGTCTCATGCTCTACTGATAGAGTTGTCCCTAATTATTCAATATATATTGTCTCGCTGTTTTCTTTTCCAATTGCCTGCTTTTTAGGAGAATTATACGACCACTGTCAGTAAAGCAAGTAGACATCTGCAATGGAACTGGACTTCTGAAATACCCTTGGAGTGTGCAGCTCATGCAGTAAGGATCAGGAGCATGGGGAGGTTTTCTGAAGTTTGGAGCGACTGGAGCCCATGGAAGATAGCAGATGGTGAGCAAACATTGTCACCTTTAAGTAGGAAAGAGCAAAATGCCCATTGGGGGAACTGTATTATCACTGTTGAATGCAAGGACAGAGAGCCTATAGCCTGGCCGATAGCAAAGGCATTTTTGTAAGCAGTTGCTCCAAATATAAGGCATGCTTATTTACACATTTACACAAACGTTTTGGTGGAGAGGGATGCAGGTGGCACTGTGGATGAAACCACAGAGCCTAGGACTTGCCGATCAGAAGGTCGGCGGTTCGAATCCCCGTGGCAGCGTGAGCTCCCGTTGTTCGGTCCCTGCTCCTGCCAACCTAGCAGTTCGAAAGCACGTCAAAGTGCAAGTAGATAAATAGGTACCGCTCTGATGGGAAGGTAAACGGCGTTTCCGTATGCTGCTCTGGTTCGCCAGAAGCATCTTAGTCATGCTGGCCACACGACCCGGAAGCTGTCTGCAGACAAACGCCGGCTCCCTTGGCCAATAAAGCGACATGAGCGCCGCAACCCCAGAGTCGGCCACGACTGGACCTAATGGTCAGGGGTTCCTTTACCTTTACCTTTTTGTTGGAGAACAGCATTACAGAATCCGAGGAAGTGTGAATCTTGAAAGATTTTGGAAGAATTTTGAAAGAATTTTGTGCTTCATTTTTCATGTCCTTTTGAGAAGTGTTGATGTGTTCGATTTGCATTAAGAGCAAACAGAACCTATCTTATCTGCTTGCTCCCTTCCTTCCTTGCTTGATGATTTAATTTCTTTACTGCTCAATATACTGAAAATATCTCTAAGCGGTGTACAGAAAACCAAAGCAACAACAGACAGCTTAAATGTAAAAATTACATACAGTTGCATGTAAGAATGTTACATTAGTACAAAGTTACACACAAACACACACACATATATAATCCATATCAATTCATTTTCCCTCTGACACTGCTTCCATCCCCAGGACTAGTTAGAGTCATTTCAAAATGTAACTTTGGAATGAAAAATACTCTAATGGCAAAACCATAATGGCTCACAAATGGCTGCCTCATCATTCTGTGTTCCCCTTTAAATTGAACAAAGCTTTTGTTACCACATGCACTTTCTATTCATGGGATCAGTGGGTGTTTCTTCGCAAAATACAGGAAATTGCAGTCAGCTCAACTTATGCTAGCTTTCACTCTTCTTTCAAATCCATCATCAAAACCTTCGTTTTCCATGACGCCTTTGACACAACTTCCTAATTCCAAAACAGCATGCCTAAATTAGTATAACTAAAATGCATATATATTATTCCTCTTCTTTCGTTTGCCTCCACATCCCTCCACTGCCTCCGCAACACTAACGATAAAGTGGGAAACCCCCCTGAGGCTTAGACTTAACCTCTTGTGTACTGTAGAGTACCAAGGCAGTAGCTAAATAACTATAGTGCACATGACAACACTTTATTGCCTTTATATTTCTTTATTTTTCCATTTATGAGTTGCTTTGCATAAGATATCTCAAAGCAATCTAAGAATGAAAACATCAACAACAAAAACAACCGTTGCAGAAATTTTATATATAAAGCTATTAAAGCCATTACGTTGTTGGCATCCGTCTGTCTAGAGAAAGAATGGAATGCACAACTTGAGGTGAAATGAAACTGAATGTTACCTCCCCATGTGCAAGCCTAGGCAGTGAGTATAGAGGTCCTGGGTTGCCCAGAAAATGACCCCCCCCCCCCCAAGCCTTGCTGATGTGGTCCAAAGGAAAGCAGAGCAATACATTTGGCACCAGATTGACAGCAGGAGTTGCCAGAAGGAGGTGTACAAGGCGCCATCCAACCGTCTTCGGGACTCCACTCCCGATTTGTGTAGGAGAGGTCACTTCAATGCTGCTAATGCAAGCAAAACAATGCAGGAGGCAGCAGTTACGAGTTTCTTGTCCCTGCAGCCACAGCAGGTGCCGTGATTCTCCAATCCAGTGCTTTTACTTCACCCACAGAGGTGCACTCCATTGTCTCCTGAGACTGATGGATGCCAATAACAACATGGGAGCAATTTCTTCTCCCCAACTCCCCAATAGATATTAAGGAAACTTCTGAGACAACTTTGAGATGAAACAACAACTTCCAGATGGTTTGTTGTTTGGTTTCTTACCGCAAAAAGCTCAGAGCCATGTAGAACTTTTAGGACTGTCCTATGTACTTAACAGCGTGAGCTTTCATAGAAAGAAGCCTTTGAGGTGGCGATGAAGTCACACACACAAATGTACAGTGAGTTCTAGTTACAGTGAATGAAACGTAATCCTATAATACTTCTTCAGAAGTAAGCCTCATTGTGTTCGTTGTGTTTATTCTCTGGTAGGAATTGTTGAATTGTTGCCCTGGAAACTATTTTTTTATTTTTAAATTAAAACTCTTAATTTACGGAGTGGGGCTGGAATGCCTCAAAGGGTGCCTGTTTCATTGTCACAATTATATGTACAAGCAAATCTCTCTCTCTCTCTCTCTCTCTCTCCCCCCCCCCCGTTTCTTTGTTCAGGGCTGGATGTCGTAGACATTCGCTGGCATTTCTTATGGCCAGAGGGTAATAAGTTCGTTGAAATGGGTTCTGACGTCAAGTATTGCTGCATTGGGGCGGAAAATAAGAGTGTACCGAAATTTTATTTTAGTGATAAGCAGATGAACATGGGACTGCAACGAAGAGTATTAGTTACTTTGAAAAATGTTACCCGTTCCAAGAGACTTGGCTACACTATCCAGTGTGATTCCGAAAGTGCATCTCTCTTTGTGACCAGTAAGCAGAAAATATTTGGCGTTTCCATTGCGGGAGGGGATTGTGTCCATCTCAGCAGCTTTTTATACTTCCTGGCCAGGTTCATGAAATTTTGTAACAGGAATATCTGAAGAGGAGCTCATGTCCTAAAGCAGGGGTGAATAACCTTCTTTCCTCCTGACCAGAGCTTCTCTTTATCCTCTGAGCAAGAGGCCTTATCACAGTTCAAGGGCACATTCTATCTGATAAGAGAACTTGAGGAGGACCACTGATGTGCCTGGTCTGGGGAGAGTCCTGTGGGCCAGATGAAGACCAGGGGGAGAGACATTTGATGTTCCTTACCCTCTTTCCAAAGGACTGCCTCCTTCCGTTCTTCACACACCTCAAGATATGGAGAGGCCCTTCTCCATATCCTGATACGTGTGGATGGGTGCTAGGTTAAGTTGGGAAGAATGAGAGAGTTGTTTATGTGGTCACACCTCAGTTTGTGCCCCATGTCTTGTTAAGTTCCTACATCTGGTGATGAATTTTGTTCACACGTGCTTTTTAATTCCCCATGTTTTTGGGGCCTGAATTGGGTGTTTTAATAATTTGCCATGCAGTTTTCAGCTTTAAAAAGACTGCTGATGATTGTTCTGTTCTTTGGACATTATCAGCCACCTTGAGTGAAAGTTTGCAAAGTAGAAAGATATGATATAAATTATCCTAGTAAATGAATATCCTGAAAGTCACCATGACCAGCTCTGTCAAAGGTGGTAAAAATATCAGATCAGATTGATTTGATCTGCAAAATTGGTAGCCAGTGGATGGTGTGCTCACAGCTGACCCTAAGAGTAATTTTCTTCAAAGGTGGTTGAAAGAATGAAATGAAAGAGAAAAACATTATAACCCAGCCTTGTTTCAACAGACCAGCCTGATAAACCCAAAGACTTAGCCTGCAAAACAGAAGACATGATTAACTTAGAGTGTACCTGGCACCCTGGTGCTAAAAATACGGATGCTGAGTTGCTATGTCCAGCAAGCTTCACCTTGTCTGATGGGTAAGTGTTCTGAAACCCTGATCCTGACAGGAGAGATCCTTAGGAAGTGACAACAGTTATGCCAGCCGTCATAGTATACCGTATTTTTCGCCCTATAGGATGCACTTTTTCCCCTCCAAAAATGAAGGGGAAATGTGTGTGCGTCCTATGGGGCGAATGCAGGCTTTCGCTGAAGCCTGGAGAGCGAGGGGGGGCGGTGCGCACCGACCCCTCACTCTCCAGGCTTCAGGAAGCTATCCGCTAGCCGTGGGAGACGCAGCTCTCCCCCGGCTAGCGGAGAGCTTGCCGGCACCCAGAAGCTTGGGGCGCGCTGAGCTCAGCATGCCCCAAGCTTCGGGCTTCGCGCAGCGCTCCGCTAGCCGTGGGAGAGCCACGCGAAGTCGCGCGACTCTCCCACGGCTAGCGGATAGCAGCCTGTTCTGAGGGCTGGGGTCGGTGGAAGCTCAGGCTTCCCCCGCCCCAGCCCTGCACCTGGGGGGAAAATAATTTTTTTCTTTATTTCCCCCAAAAGACTAGGTGCGTCCTATGGGCTGGTGCATCCTATGGGGCGAAAAATACGGTACCTTTTTTTGAGGAAATGAGTTGTTGACAAAATGAATTACAGGGACAGAAAGTGTCGTGAAAGATGACCAGAGGGTTGGATCAAATGGATTATTTGCACACAGGACTTAGGTAGAGGAAACACTTTACCTCTGTGCCCTAGGGGTGGAGGGGCCGATAATAACAATAACAACAACAACAATAATAATAATAAACAACTTTTATTTATACCCCACCCTCCCCAGCCGAAGTCAGGCTCAGGGCGGCTAACATCAAATATATAACATTAGTATAAAATCAAACAATAATTAAATTACCTCCTAAAAACAGGTCAAAATCAAATTAAAGTCTAATTAGATGGCTTTCCGCAGGGTTAGGGTTGGGAACAGTAAGTGCTGATCAGTAAGTGCTATAGCCCTCCAGATGATGTTAAGATACCATTTCCATCATCCCTGAGAGCCCTGACT